CGGCCGCGGTCCCAAAGCGCTCAGCGGGGAAGCCCAGAGTAGCTCCCGCTAGCAGGTCTGACATTGGACAGGCTGAGAACCGCTGCTGTAGAGCCTCAGGCCATCGGAAAACACAGGTATTCACATTACGATGCATAACAGCAGCAGAATCACAGTGATGAGGTAGCCACGAAGATAATTGTATGGTTGGGGGTCACCACAGCAGGAGGAGCTGGATTAAAGTTCGCAGCGTTAGAAAGGTTGAGAACCGCTGTCCTAGAGAGTTGAGTCGGGCAGTAACTTCCCAGTAAGAAAACTCTCCTACTTGTGAAGGAAGCGGGTCGGAATGTTGGGGTGCAGGGGGCTCGCTGGGCAGTCCTCTCACTCCCTTCCTGCGTGGACCCGCCCGGCGCCCGGAGGGGAGAGCCGGTGTCACGGTCACGCCCGCTCCTCCCGCACGGGCGGGCGGGCCCTGCTGGTTCCTGAGGCCAGCGTGGCGCCCGTTTCCCTGTCCGTGCCAGGGGGCCGCGGTGCCTTCCTCATGCGAAAACTAGCCTCGAAGGTAAAGCGGCCCCACAAGAGCCGCACTGGTGTCCCCGAAGGTGTGAGCAAACGGGAGAGGCCCCGCCCTCGTCTGTCCTCACAGCACTCCTTCCCCGACCCTCTCCCCCGCAGGACGTGTATTCGTACAAGCAAGTCGGAGTGTCTCTGAACCGCATATTCACCGTCAACCCCAAGGGCGAGCTGGTGCAGGAGCACGCCAAGACCAACATCTCCTCGTGAGTCCTACCAGCCGGCCGGCCGGGCGGCCGCGGCTGTGGCCGGGGCGGCTTAGGAGGGGCCTCTTACCGTCCACGGTGTTCCTGTGGGTCCTTTGGCTGCCTGCATTTTAATCTTTAAAAATATATATATTTTATTGATTTTTTACAGAGAGGAAGGGAGAGGGATAGAGAGCTAGAAACATCGATGAGAGAGAAACATCGACCAGCTACCTCTTGCACACCCCCTACTGGGGATGTGCCCGCAACCAATGTACATGCCCTTGACCGGAATCAAACCTGGGACCTTTCAGTCCGCAGACCGACGCTCTATCCACTGAGCCAAGCCGGTTCTGGCTGTGTTTTGATCTCTAATCCCTTCAAGAACCGTGTGTGTCCACGCCTCGTGTTTTTGCGTGCTGCTCGGGCAGTCCGGATTAAGTCGGTCCCCTCGGGGTGGGGCGTTGAGCCCGGCGGGTCCGCCTGCTCCGGAGCGGAACGCAATGGATTTGAAAACGAGCGGCTTTGATTTGCCAAGTTGGGTCGAAAAGCCTGGAGGGCGAACTCAAAGGACAACCGGACGGGTTGTCACGGGACAGTGTATTTAAGGACGAGGCGCGCGCCGGTCTTACGGAGTCACCGCGGAGTGAGCGTCGGGGTTCCTCCCGGGCACGCCGGTTCCCGGAGGCAGAGGGCCGGGAGGGGCCCGGAACGGGGCAGCCTCGGGGGCTGCAGGCCCTCCCTGGACCCTGACGGCGGTTCCGAGGCGCGCCCCCTGCTGGTGAGCGGCGGCTGCTCCCCGAGGGCACGGCCGGCCACCTCTTCTGGCCACAGGAGCTGGTCTCAGGGCTGGAGGAGTTTGAAGCATTGGCTTCGGTCCCCAGGAAAGACAGAGGGGAGACCTGTGTGTCTTGGAGCTCCGTGCTCCCCAGAGGCCCGGGGAGGGCCTTTGCTGCACACACACACGCTCCTCCTCGTGTAAGAAGGTACCTCCTGCCTCGGAGCAGGCCGCTTCCTCCAGGCTGCGGCGGGGGTGTGTGTGTGTGTGTGTGTGTGTGTGTTGGGAAAGCCCCTTCGGCGCTCAGCGGTGGGCGCTGGTGAGGGACCGGGTGGCCGGAGGGGTCGGGGTGCAGGGAGGTCCGGGCTGGTCACCGTGTCTGGTGGGAGGCATCGGGGCCTGAAAACGTGTCAGCCAGCAGCTGGCTTCTCGCGGCCCCGGCCCCAAAAAATGTGCTCCGACCTGTCTCTGGGGACTGCACAGAGCGAGCGCGGGCCGCAGGGAGCACGGAGAAGCAGGCACTGGGTCAAGTCCGAGCTTGGAAAGACGGGCCTGAGCCAGCGCGGGCGAGAGCCGGGCCCCGGCTCCAAGCAGGAAGGCGGGGGGTGGGGGGGGGGAGGGGAAGATCCGTTTCCCAGAAGATCCGTGTCCTTAGCCCGGGGCCCGGCGCTTCCCGGCACAGAGGCCCATCTCTCCCGTGACGCACACGTGTGGCCCCGCAGGGCTGTGCCTGCCGGGCTCCTCTGTCCTGCGGCTCTGCCTCCGGCTCCTTGGTGCGGGGCAGGCCCATCGCCTCCCCGGGGCCTGCTCCCCGTCCTGCGGGCGCTCCCCGAGGCCTCCTGGTGACCAGCGAGGTCCTTCCTGAGCGCCCTCCGCAGCGTCAGCCCCGGGGTCTCTCCCGGTTTCCGAGCGCGGCCGTGACCTTGCCCGTGACCTTGCCGTGTCCCTCCAGGTACGTGAGGCTGTGCGAGGTGGTGGACCACGTCTTCCCGCTGCTCAAGAGGAGCCACTCCTCGGACTTCCCCTGCTCGGACACGTTCAGCAACTTCACCTTCTGGAGGGAGCCGCCGCCCCCGTTCGAGAACCCGGACGCGCACTCCGCCTCGGCCTGAGCCCGCCGGGACCCGGATCTGCCAGGACCCCGCGCCGCCCGCCCGCCGCCCCCGCGCCATTAAAGCCCGCTGGGAGCCCGGGAGGGAGCTCGGGAGCCGCGTGCGTCATTGCCGAGCGCACAGAGCTGGGTGCACCCCGCTCCCCGCGCCCGGGGCTGGCGTTTCTCAGTCAAGTACCAGGTGCACGTTCCTTGCGAGGAGTCGGGTGCACTCCCTGGGGGTGGGGGGTCCTGGCTGGGGCTGAAAGCCAGAGACCCCGAGGCCCTGCCCGCCTGCGGGCCGCCTCTCCTGGGCTGCGTGTCCCCGTGAGCCCAGCAGAGCTGGCGCCTGGCCCGGCGGGGGACGGAGTCCACAGGACCAGGTGCTGCCACGTGGAGGGGCCACGTCCCCATGGTGGCTCCCACCCATCTGCACCCGGTGGTGGTGGGCGGGAGAACGGGTGGGGAGGCACATGCTGGCTGTGTGACCGGATCTGGGTCTCTGAAGGGCTTGGCCCTGTGGGTGTTCCTTGCAGTATTCGCCGAGTCTGATTCCAGGGGATAAGCTCGCCTATCATACTTCGGTTAAAGAACCGTTGCCACTGGTACACCCCCTCCCCCCCCTTTCTGTGGCTCAGGGCTGGACAGTTCATGCCTTAATGCCCCTGGCCGGCGTGTCCCCTGGAATGTGCTTTGTCCAGCTCCCGGTACCTGCCATGCCTTACGCTCGGACCCAGGGAGGGCTTCGGGGGCAGGGTCTCCCGTGAGGCTGAGGCTGGCCCGGGCCAAGGCCTCGCCTCCGACAGGCGGAGCTGGCGGGCGGCCGGCGCAGGGGCTGGGCCTGGGCAGGGCCGGTTCCCATGGGAAGCTCTCCGGTGAAGCTGCTTGGTGTTACGAAATCCGCTTCAGGAAGTTAAATTATATTCTCTGTAGATATTATTTATTACTTTACTCCGATGGGCCATAGCCTTTCTGGGATAACGGTCACTGACCTGTAAGAAGACACGCGTTAGACAACCCGGAGCCTTATTCTCTCCCCTCACCGGCCTCTCACCTTCCCCCGCTTCTCCCGCTGGCGGTCAGGGCACGGCGCAGGGGTACGGTTTGCCCGGGGGCCTTTCTCTAAGCCCCCGGGAGACGGACTCTCTTGTTCGGATAAACGGATGACAGAGAGGACTATGTGAAGAGTTAAGAGTTATTTTGGTAAAGAGTTTGCTTTATTTTTTGAGGTATTATTTTTCTAAAGCGCCTTTTCCTCCGGCGGTGGAAGTGCTTTGCTAGGCGGTTGCCAGGAGGCCACGCGAGGGGCAGGCCGTGGACTCGCTCTTTCTGTGAAAGAGACGCGGAGGTCGCCCCGGTCCCGACTGGGGGCGGTGTCCACAGGCGCCAGGTGCTGCCACGTGGAGAGGTGGTGGCAGGGGGCAGGCGGCGGCGGCTCTGGGACAAGGCTCCCGGGGCCCGGCTGGGGCCCCACAGAAAGGCCCCCGTTTGCACAGAGCCCCGTGGGAGGCACAGACGTGATGGACTCCTCCGGGCATGGGCACTGGCGACCTTCCGAAGCTGCGCTCCCTCTCCGGTGGGCGTTGGGGTGACCGGAGCTGCTGTGACCTGAGCCTCGTTCCTCCTCCCCCGGAGAGCGAGGCTGGGGGAGAGGGGGCACCGCCTCAGGCACGCCTTCCAGAAGGTCGCCCTCGGATCTGGGTCCCTTGGGAGTGGGGCCCCCGCCCCCGGCGCCGTAGCGGTCACACCTGCCGTGGCCTGGGAAACAGACTTGCACGTGGGGGTCGCGCACAGGTGTGCATGTGGGCTTGTCTGTTCACAGCCACAGCCCGGCACCCCGCGGGCGGGCACATGCTGAGTGCCGCCTGGGCCGCACCTGGCCGCCTGCAGAGAGGACCCCCCGAGAGCCGACGCCCGGGCTCCCCCCTGAGTGCAGAATGCAGGAACGAGGGCCTGCACAGACCCCCCTCTGCCAGGTGGGGCGTGGCTCCCGCGGCCCTGTGCTGGGTAAGCACCTCTGTGCGGGCACGTGCTGGGAAATGATTCTCCCTGTGTTGTGCCGGATGCAGAGCTAGAAACTTGTAATAAAAGACCCGCGAAAGGCTTCTGAGCGTCAGTGTGAACTTTATTCTGTTTGTATTTTGTTATTGATCTCAGAGAGGAGGGGAGAGGGAGAGAGAGAGAAACATCAGTGACGAGAGAGAGTCATGCATCCGCTGCCTCCTGCACGCCCCCTAGTGGGGATCGAGCCTGCACCCCGGGCCTGCGCCCGGACTGGGGGTGGCGCTGTGACCTGGGTCATAGGTCGATGGTCCACCCCTGAGCCACGCGGGCCGGGCTTGTTTGTCACGATGGACCAATCCAAGCCCTGGCCTGGCTCACCCACATCACCTGAAAACCGCCGCCATTCCTGTGGATGGTGCCTGGTCCCTGTGCCTGAGACCCCCGTGGCCTACCTGTGCCAGCCCGGGGGCTTGTGGGACACACGGAGAGCCGTGTCCCTGTGTGTGTAAGAGCCGCCTCCGGGCACCGGGCTGGGCTGTGTGTGCGGCCGGATCCAGCGTCTCCCTCCGGCGTCTGGAATGAGCTGTGTGCACGGAGACGCCGCCATCGCTCTCCTTCAGCGGCACACCGCGGACTCTCCCACGATTCCCAAGGGCAAGCTCCACCCCTGTCAGAGCCTGGCCTGTCTGTGGTCTCGGGCCCCGAGATGCCCACGCCCTCCCCGGGGCACTGCAGGCAGCTCTCACCCGCAGGGAGACATCCACGGGCGGAATTTCTCCAGGTCTCAGTTGCAAACGCCTGCATCAGTAACAGGCTCCTTATCCTGGCTTTCGAAGTCCACACCCACCACCCACAGCTCACCATCCCTTTCTTTTAAAAAAAACTATATTGATTTTTTACAGAGAGGAAGGGAGAGGGATAGAGAGCTAGAAACATCGATGGGAGAGAAACATCGATCAGATGCATCCTGCACACCTCCCACTGGCGATGTGCCCGCAACCAAGATACATGCCCTTGACCGGAATCTAACCTGGGACCCTTCAGTCTGCAGGCCGATGCTCTATCCACTGAGCCATACCTGTTAGGGCCTTGTTATTCCTTTTATCTGAAGCCAAGGAACACTGGCCAGTGACCATGGGCTTCGGTCCCTGCGGAAGGTCTTGCGTGAGCCGGGGCGCCCCCTGGGGGCGGGAGGAGAGGCAGCGGGAAGGGTAGGCGGGCGCCGTTACCAACGGGGAGACCCTGACTTCTGGAACCTGCCTGTGCTCTTCTACCAGGAGTGCTGTCCCCGGGCTGCCCCAGTCCGCTGGGCACCCGGGCCACAGTCCGTCACCCCGTCCCAGTCCAGAGGGACGACGTGAGAGCAGGCCTGCCGTTCCCGGGGGCCCGGCCCGCGGGAGGACAGCCCTCTCAGGCCTGAAGGAAGAGAGTGTGGTTACAACGCCACTGGTGCCTCCTCCCCGCCTCTCCCCTCCTCCCACTCCGGCTGCAGGCGAAGGAGGCAGTGTCACCCCCTTGCACGAGGGCTTGGTGCCCGGAAGGAAACCAGACAGAAGTTGGCCCTGGCCCCAGCCAGTGTGGCTCAGTGGACAGAGCGTCAGCCTGTGGACCAAAGGGGGTCCCAGGTTCGATTTCGGTCAAGGGAGTGGACCTGGGTTGCAGGCTCCTCCCGGGCCTAGGCCCTCCCTGGTCAGGGGTCATGCAGGAGGCAGCCCATCGACGTGTTTCTCTCTGCCTTTCCCTCTCTCTTCCCTACAAATCTAAGGGAAAATGTCCTCGGGGGAGGATGAACAGCAAAAAGTTGGCCCTGAAGCCAAAACCGGTGTGGCTCAGTGGATAGAGCGCCGGCCTGTGGACTGGAAGGTCCTGGGTTTGATTCCGGTCAAGGGCATGTGCACATCCCCGGTGGGGGGTGTGCAGGAGGCAGCTGGTGATGTTTCTCTCTCATCAACGTTTCTAGCTCTCTATCCCTCTCCTTTCCTCTCTGTAAACAAATCAATTAAAAAAGAAAAAAGAAAAAAGTTGGTCCTGAAAGTCAGTGGCCATGCGTGGCCACCTGGGGGCGCACAACCTTTGGTTTGGAGGCAGAGCCTTTGAGCACGGGATCCAGGCTTGATAGAGGCTCCTCCCTGAGCAGAGCAGGCCAGACGCCAGCCAGGTGAGTGGTGGGCCCTGCGGGGGGGGGGGGGGGGGGGGGGGGGGGGAGGCCTGGGTACCAAAGGGCCTCCGGCTGGCTCCGCTCCAGGGCAGCATCACCAGCTGGCAGGAGGAGGGGGTGCTGGCGGCCGTTGGACATTCAGGCCTAAGGTGGGTGGTTCTCAGAGCGTGGTCTGGGGGCCTGCAGGGCCGCATCGGGCAGCTCGTTAGCAATGAAAGTTTCTGGGCCCCAAGCAACTTGTAACCTTCAGCATCTACCTGGGTGTGGGGGCCCGGTGTGAGTACATCCTCCCAGGTCCCCGGCTCAGGTTCCAGAAGGCTCACTGAGGCCCGGGTCCCGGTCCCAGGAGCTGCGCGGCCCGGGGCAGCTGGCATCTGACTCTGGCCTGGCCAGGGCGGCCGACAGACTCTGCCAAAGGAGGGAGGCCCCTGGAAACCCACGCAGGGGCTCCCCCCAGCTGTGCAGAGCCCCTGGTGCCCAGCGGCTGGCCCCAGCCACCTTCCTGGGCATCTGGGCGGCAGCGGGTCCTGCCTGGGAGGGAATGTGCCTGTGACAGGCCGGCCGGGCGGGGCCGCCGAGGTCCGGGCTGCGGGCCCTGCTCTGGCCGGGGGTCCCTGGCTGGGCAGGAAGTCCACTCGGCCCGCATTGCCGTTAATGAGTTCTGCAGGCCAGCGGCCCCTTCCGGTGACTCATGCTGCCTTCGGTGCTCCGGAGGCTGCGGCTTTAGGTTTCCGTGGGGAGTGACCGCACTGCCCGGGCTGCTTTCTCTGCCGCCGGCATCCCAGCCGGTCACAGCCATTGCACAACCGAGAGATGTGCACGCTGGCGGCCGGGCCTGCCCCGCCCCAGCGGTAAACTCACTCTCTCTCTCTCTCTCTCTCTCTCTCTCTCTCTCTGTCTCTCTCTCTCTGTCTCTTAATATATTTTATTGACTTTTTACAGAGAGAAAGGGAGAGGGATAGAGAGTCAGAAACATCGATGAGAGAGAAACATTGATCAGCCGCCTCTTGCACACCCCCTACCGGGGATGGGCCCGCAACCAGAGTACATGCCCTTGACCGGAATCGAACCCGGGACCCTTGAGTCCGCAGGCCAATGCTCTATCCACTGAGCCAAACCGGTTTCGGCGAAAAACCATCCTTCTCCGCAGGGATGACGGGGCCGGCGCGGGGGGCACGGTCCGCAGCGGGAAGGAACACGCTCCTTGGGGGACATGATGTGTTCTCCCCGCAGAGTGGCGGGCGGTCCCGCTGTTGTCCTTGGTCTTCTTGGTTCACATTTCGGGACGATCCTGGAAATGCACAGCGCGCACGTGCGGGCGAGTGAGGCAGCTCACCTCCCGTTCATTGGGAGGCACGGCTCCAGGTGGAAGTGTGTTCCCGCTCCAGGGAGCACCTGGCAGAGGTGGTGAAGGTGGAGACAGGTTTACTGCAGCGAAATCGTCTTCATCCGGGTTTCCCACACCATCAGAGTGTGGCCCCCGAGAGGGTGAGTGTCTGAGGAGCAGGCAGACGTGATCAGTGGACACACACACAGGGGATCATACAGTCATCTTCACAGATCTTCCTGTGGGACTGAATTATGCTCACACAATTTCACTTAAATGCATTCGAGCATGAAACAGTGGCCCTTACACAGTTATACAAACCAGAGCAGCCCTAGCTGGTGTGGCTCGGTGGGTAGAGCGTCCGCCTGCAGACTGAGGCGTTCCCAGGTTCGATTCGGGTCACGGGCACATGCCTGGGTGGCGGGCTCCATCCCCAGGAGGGGGTGTGCGGGAGGCCGCTGATCAAGGATCCTCTCTCATCATTGATGTTTCCATCGCTCTCACCCTCTCCCACTGCAGGGGTTTCTCACCCTACAGGTTTCTCACGGGAGGGGCGGTACGCGGAGCATCTGGCTTGATGAGCTGGGAATGTTTTGTGTGTTTTTTTTAAATCCTCACCTGAGGACATTTCCCCACTAATTTGTAGATAGAGTGGATGGGAGAGAGAGACACACACACACAGAGAAACATTGATGTGAGAGAGACACATAGATGGGTTGGTTGCCTTCCCACACACCCCGACCAGGGCCAGGGAACGAGCCTGCCACTGAGGTGCGTGCCCCTGACTGGAATCGAACCCGGGACCCTTCAGTCCACAGGCCGAAGCTCTTTCCACGGAGCCTGGGGCAGAGGCGGGGATGTTTTTGTTCCTCTCTCTGCACACAGACCTTCTCCCAGGAACACTGTTTTCCTCGGGTTAGGAGGTGGGTGCGGTTCCCCAAGCCACCAGCAGATGGGGCCAAGAGCCCCATGCCAGGACCCAGGCTTCCTCCCTCTGCCACACTCCAGCCCCTCCCGGGCCTCCACCGTCCCAGTCATCCCAGGTCCCGGCAGAGGGAGCACGGAACCCTGTGCCTGTCAGCAGATTCCTGGAAGGTCACGCCGGATGCTGCGTGCTCCCTGGGAGGAACGGGGGGGCTCTGTGTGTTTGTCTCCCGTGGATTGCATCACCGGGCAGCCTCCTGGCGTGATTCTTCGGACGCCTGTGGTTTCCAGCCCTTCCCCGGTTCCTCTGCCTCCGCGTCCTGGCCAGGCCCCTCCTGGCCATGGCAGGATGTCCGGGGGGGAAGGCTGTGGCCCCAGGTGCTGGCCCCCGTCCAGCACTTTCCATGGCCCCTCCCTCTGCCCATCCGGTCCCCCCTCCCAGAGCTGGAACAGACTGTGGTCCTGGGGACGGGGGACTGGACACGGCTGGGCCCCTGGCGACGGCCTCTCAGCCCCGATCCGATCCAATCCGATCCGATCCCGTCAGGGAGCCCTGCGCCGCGGGAAGGCGGGGTTTCACCAGGACCCGGCACCGGGGAGCCCTCCTCTCTCTGACCACACCTGCGCGGCCGGAGGCAGCTCAGCTGTGCCAACTCTTTTTAAAAATGTACTTTATTTATTTAACCTTTACAAACTC